TCCTGGATGAAGATTCCCCTTTGGCTGGTTTCTTTATCCTAAAGTCCATCTTCGGCTGGCATCCTTTAAAATCCACCTTCGGCTGGTACCATTTGTTGAGAGTCCCCTTCGGCTAGTCTCTTTGCAGTTGTAAGTTCGCCTTCGACCGGCGTTCTCTTATTAGGAATCTACCTTCGGCATAGTATTCTTGGATGAAGATTCCCTTTCGGCTGGTTTCTTTATCCTAAAGTCCACCTTCGGCTGGCATCCTTTAAAATTCACCTTCGGCTGGTACCGTTTGTTGAGAGTCCCCTTTGGCTGGTCTCTTTGCAGTTGTAAGTCCTCCTTCGATCGGCGTTCTTTTCTTAGGAATCTACCTTCGGCATAGTATTCCTGGATGAAGAATCCCCTTCGGCCGGTTTCTTTATCCTAAAGTATGCCTTCGGCTGGCACCCTCTAAAGTCCACCTTCGGCTGGCATCCTTTAAAATCCACCTTCGGTTGGTATCATTTGTTGAGAGTCCCCTTCGGCTGGTCTCTTTGCAGTTGTAAGTTCACCTTCGACCGGCGTTCTTTTCTTAGGAATCTACCTTCGGCATAGTATTCTTGGATGAAGATTCCCCTTCGGCTGGTTTATTTATCCTAAAGTCCGCCTTCGACTGGCACCCTCTAAAGTCCACCTTCGGCTGGCATCCTTTAAAATCCACCTTCGGTTGGTATCATTTGTTGAGAGTCCCCTTCGGCTAGTCTCTTTGTAGTTGTAAGTTCGCCTTCGATTGGTATTCCTTCGTCAGAACCTTCTTTGGTCGGTATCTTTCTTGTGTATGTCTAACCTTGACCTGACATCCAAGAGATTTTCTCAGCTAATCACTACAATCCAAAGAAAACAAAAAATATATAATAATACCTGACTGGCTTCAGAGTGCAAATTTTTGGGTTCTTTTAGTATTTAATCTTCTTTTACCTTGAAGGTTCGAAAGGCTGGCGCCAATCTCACCTTCATGTCTAAGGCGATTAAATAGGGGCAGCTGTTGCACCCCAAAATTTGCCCTCCTAATTTCTCTTATGCTGGCCTAGATTCTTGCATTCATCTGTATATATTCCATTAGGTCATTGACATACATTTGCATTCAATAAAGTGCTTAAGGATCAAAGTTCAGTGGCTGTGCGATATTTGGGTTTCACGATGGTTAAGGCGTTTATGTCCAAAAAGGATGGTTTCTCATTCAAATAGCAATTAGTAGAATTAGGATCGTGACCTGGGTCATTGATAATTTCTTTCTTCGTCAAGCTATGAGGCTATCAGAGTTTATTTTCCTATGTGCGATTGAAGCCAGGTTTTTTGATGTTTGCGCTTTAATCAAGTTCTTTTCCAAGGAGTATGGTTTAAGGTTGCCACTTGTGACTATCTGGAATCTCCTTCCTTCAGAATTAAGGACCTCCACCTATCACCATGCCTTGGGTTTTCTTACCAAAACTGGACTTTCATCTGAAACTTTCTTTTAAGTGACAAGTATTTGGTTCTATCCTGAAAAATGTGAACTTGAGCATAAACATTTGTGTGAATCATCTGCTCCTATTTTATGGGATAAAGATTTCGCCGAGGGTATTGAAGCCATTGGGATTTTATTAGGATTATATTTCAGAATCCAAAGGTACATTCATTGTTGAAGCTCCTAGAGGTTGGTTATGCGTTGATACGGTGGAATAATCTATTCCCTATTTCACCAATTAAGGATCTGCATACTAGGATTCAAAGGTGTTTTTCCTATCAACTTTGCCTTAAGATGCAAGATTCTAGGGGGTAAGCGATGCAAGTGTGAATTAGGGTTTCTAATCCTTGGTGTTCAGATCTGATTTGGTTTTCATTTGAGGCGTTCTCTTCATCGTAATCAAGTCGTGGCCATCTTGGTCATATTTCTCTCTGTATCCTCACGTTCATTTCCAAGTTGTTCTACGAAGTCATCTAAGAGCTACTAAATCAGGCATTCATTATTTCCCTATGCGTGGGTTTGTCGGATGAATTTGGCAGGGCTAATAGTCAAAGGTTCTTCGCCAATGACTAGCTAGGGTTTTCTTTCGACCTTTCTTTATAAGTCGAAAGGGGGAGCTTATTACTTAAGTCACAAGATATGCGATCAGAGATTTCATAGAGGGAAGATGTGGATATACTGGTGCCCACTTTACCGTTGGATCTTTGTTTATCATTGATTCAAATAAATTCTTTCAATTAGCTATGATGTTTGAGGATCAAGATGTCACATTGCTTAGGCCATACAAGTTATCTCTTTGGTTCTCACACGAGGCTTTGAGGTGAACGTGGTGTATTGGATCATAGTTGCATCCAAGATTTTGACAATATATTACTTGAGTTCCTTTGGTTGACTATCAGTATCTGATCTCATGATGTGTTATATTAAAGGATGCAATTTGAAGCTAAATTTGAAAGGTTAAAAGAACCTTTTGGAGGGAAAGAAAGATTCAAGCCATATTTCATCTCCAAAATATCAAGTATCACAAAACTCATCCAAGAAATATTGAAGAATCCAAATAAAATACAACAATATGAAAGCAAGGTTCAAGATTGAAAATTGGAGAAAATATTGGATGCTTGAAGATTCATTCAAATTAAAGCAAATGAAGGAAAAAAAATTCAAATCTATGTTTGAGAAAGAGAACATTACATTTCCAAAGCACTAGTCTGTTATAATTTCACTTCCTTCAAGTCACATTGCAAGATCTATTACAAAAATTCAATACCAGATTATAACTCACTACACCATCTTAAATTACATCATTGAGCAAAATACAAAAAAATTACACAGAACATTTTCATCCAAAAGTTACTTCATGCGAATCTCCAAATTCTAGCGAAAGGCTTCAAGCATATCATGTATAAGGCTATAAACTCGTTGCTACTATGCTGAGTCATCAAACCAATATGTGCAGCCCATTGGCATCTGCGGTACACAAGCTGCTGTAGGCATACCTGCAAACATGAAATTTATTCATTAAATTTGGATTCCCAAACCTGCACATTCACACAAAGAAAACCCAAGTCAATACAAGCAATCGTGCCAAAAATAGGTCCACATCATTCAACTAACTGCAATTGAGAAAAAAATCAGAAAAGGGGAAGGGGAAACCTAGTGTACCTATGGGGAATTCGGAGTTCGATGATGGTGGGGAGAGGAGATGTAAAAAAATCAATTTGTGAAGGCTTCTTCTGGGGACAAGAATAGAGGTGTTAGAATGTCTAGTTTTAATGTAGAAAAGCATGAATCTGTTGATAGCATGAGAAATTCGGATAATGGAAGCTGTATTTTTTAATGCTGAGATAGAAACATACAGTAACTTTAGTAATGATGCTGATAAGTGTGATAATCTGGGTAATGATGTTAAGTCTAACAGTGGAAATGGAAGTACTAATGGTATTTCTTCTACTTATAATGACATTCATGTAAATCAAGTGGTAGATGCGATTAATAAGCTGAACATCAAACATCCCGAGGGCATCCATATTCCTAGTAATTTGACAAATTCCTTTGTACATAGTAGCAATGGTTTTGTGGTTGGAGGAAATGACAATGTTTCTAGTTGTTTCAGTGCTAGTTCAGGATCTAATGCTAGAGGTCTACAGTTGCATACTAATGACAATTTTGATAATGTTGGTGGGCAATATACTGAAGATGGAAGAATAAGCGATGTTCAAAACAACACTATTCATGGTATCACCCGGGATGCTGCAGCCGCTGGAATACCTTGTTCTAAGATAGAAAAATACCTTGTTCTAAGATCAATTCCCAATGTGGCAAAATTCCATATTTTCAAGCATCTGAAGATGCCCAAGTAAATGGAGCTGAACAGTCTTATACGGACTTTAAACCCCCGACATGGGATCCTTCTAGTTTTAAAGAAAACTTATTTTGTAAGTTAAATGAAAAATTTGAATCCAATACAAAAGCAAACAGCTCAGCCCAACATCTTATTAACAAACTGTTAACAAACTTCAAAAGAATTTTCTAACGGCTCTAACAAATCCCAACTGAATCTAACCAATTCTAATAACTAACTTCTACTAACAGAATTTCCAACTAACTTGTAACAAAAACTAACAGCTAACCGCTCTAACCGAATTCATCTCAACCATTCATCACCTCACCAACTAATTTTAATCCAGTGGCCAAGAATGCACAATTTCTAACAGATTTTGAGAGCTATATAACAGAGGGGGATTCATACAAAGAGGACAGATATAATTATTCAGAAACTGATACAAAAGGTTGAGAACGGAGAACTCACCAAAGGAATAGAGAACCCTTCTCTTCACATCACCACCCTCTCATAGCGATTCTCTCTCAAATCCCTCCCCTGAACCTCTTCATCAATTCACTTCCTCTCTCGACAATAAACTTCTGCATCGCCTTCAATCAACAACAACGTTCTTCACTTCTCAACGACCGCAACAATCAACTTCAACAAGTCACATATTATTAACTTCAACGCGTCTTATTCAACGCTTCATCACGAAGAACGACAATCACGACAAATCGCGCAAATTCAGAAAAAAATGTCAAAACGAAAGGGGAGGGGAACAGAATTATACCAGGGAAGGGCTTGGTTCTGCAATCTTGGAGAATCACACTGAAAAATCTTCATCTTCAACAATCGACAAGAACTTCAGCACTTTAGCCATAACAACCTTCAATTCGTACACGCATATTCATTATCCAATATTCATCTTCAACCTGCATCAAACTGCAATGCATCAACATCACTGTGACCGCTTCGTACAGAACAACGAAAAACGCAACGCACACTTTAGCATCAACACAAAATGCAAGAACAACAACTCAAAAGAGATCGTAGAAAAATATAAAAAGAAACAGTGAAGGAGAAGAAAGACGATAAGCGGAAGAGATTGTATGGAAGCTTATTATAACCTCTAGAGTTCTCGCAACACCGACACCGTTGAAGAGTCACTGGAATTTCTCCAGTAGGTAAGTCCTATTGAACTTCATCTTAACATCTCTTCATCGTTTTCTCTGGTTTCTCGATGTGGATCTGTCGAAGATGAGATCGAAACCGAAGTGTGAGAGGTGATGATGCGAAGAAGGATGAAACATAAGAGAGATAAGGGATAGAGTCACGGCGGTGTTCGAGAGCACAGACGGAGGCTCCGTAACTGGAAGTCAGAGATGGTGAGAAGTCGCGCCGTCGTGGAGGAAGAAGGGCGATGCATAGCTTTCTAACCCTAAAACCCCTTTCCAATTTCATATCTTTTCTTTTTAGTTTTAATTGTTGCATTGTTTTATTATTTTTTTAATTCAAATTAATAATAATTATGACTAAGTAAATCTGGATTGGATGTGGTGATGTTGGACCAAATCTCCTCTAAGGCCCGTTTTGATTTTTATGCCTCAAACTTATGATACAAAAAAAAGGCTACTTTGGTTTGACCGGGTTGGGTTGAATAACATTCTGATGCCCAACATTTTTTCTTTTGGAAGCTGGCTTGCTGCGAAAAAAAGAGAGAACCTTGTTGGGCCTAGCGCCCAAGCCTTCTAGTGGCCATACGCCTGGATTTCAGTCTATACCCCCTTCTGACTAGAATTCTAGTTTTTTTTTTTCATTAATTTCCTTTCCATAATTTTTTATAGTCAAAATTAATCAAAAAAACCAAAAAAAAATTTTGTTAATTGTTTTTTTAGGAATATAATATAATTTCTCTAGATTTTTCTTCTTTTAGAATTTTGTTAGAATTTTATTTTATGATTTATGGTTAAGTAATCATTTCGTTTCCGATGCTTCATACTTCACCTTTTGCTTGTTGAGGTCTGAAATCTCATGCAGGTTTATTGTGCAATATTTGGATGCGCTTGAAATTTCGATTGTGATTTATTTTCACAATCAATGATGCGTCGACGTTTATTCCGGGCATTTGGTTTCTAACTCTTCTCTTTGAACGAAATCAGGAGAAACAGGACTTTACTGCAAGCTATGCATGCTAATATCAGGTAGAATTCCCTCAAAATTCTAACTTTAGATCTAACAATGCATGATAACATTAGGTTTAGAAGTAGGCTAGTCTTCATGTGACTTTCTTTCCCCCTTTGCATATGCATTTAAAACAAAAACTTCTTTTTTACAAACTTCAAAATACTAAAAACTTACCGACGAGAATCATATCTTCATTAAGTCTGTGAGACAATAAGCGGGTTTCTTCTCAGTCTTATTATTCTCCTATTCTAAGATTTTGTGTGGTTCAAGTCTCAAAGACTTATTTCATGAATAAGTAGAGAAATGGCTAAAATCTCTCCCTTGAGGTCAAATAGCTGTTATCTACAAGAAAAAATACCGACAAATACAAACTCTTTTGCCTACGGGCCTTCCTTTCAAAAGAATCTTTTCAAAAGAATATATTAATTCACTTCTGTGCTGATGCGTAAGTCTCCAAAGGTCGAGTTGCGGCAGAAGGCGAAATTAATATCATTCATTACAAAAACGAACAAATTCAAACTTTTGTGCGTCCAGGCACATTTCTTTCCAAACTTTTTCAAGAGAGCATGTTAATTCACTTCTGTGCTGACGCGTAAGTCTCCGATGGTCGAGTTGCGGCAGAAGGCAAAATTAATATTGTTCAGTAAAAAAAAATACAAACAAACAAAAACATGTAAGCCGAACTACGGCTGCTCTGATTCCTTAAAAGGGACACGTAGGCATCGGGGTAGGGCCCGAACGAGCACAACTTTTATTTTCCCTACATTTTCCCCCTTTCTTTCGCATGCATTCTCCAGTAGTATAGTAGACAATAAGCATAGATTAAACACACCCATAAGATAGATAACAAGAGTGGATACCGTAGAGTACTACAGGCGTGTGGGGTGCTAATACCTTCCCCTTGGGTAACCGACTCCCTTACCCTTATCTCTCGGTCGCAAGACCGTGACTTCTCCCTTCCTCAGGTTTTCTCGATGTTTACATTTCCATTCATATGGGATAAAAGACGTTCGATGGCGACTTTATTGTTTTGATGATTTTCAGCCGGTTGTTTCAACTGTCAAAGAAGCTCCGAAGGTAGTGAATACAACATCTCCAAAGTAAAATCCCAACGCACGCTGCGCTTATCACTCTGATAGCCCGGGGCATTCTACAGATGATTTTTGGGCTCTAAGGAATAAGGTTCAAGACCTTATTGATGCTAAAGAAATACAGTTCGAGGCGCCCGAAAGGCCCAATGTTGTGACTGCTCCCATGCCCCAGCATGGAGTGAATGCTGTGGAAGAAGACCTGTATGTAGCCTCTGTGGAAGAGATTGTTACTCTGTTGTTGACTGTCAAAAGGAACCTGTTGCTAGCCGGTTTATTTCCGGGATGTAGCAAAGGTTGCCTTCTATGTTCTGTTTCACCTGCTGGTTGTCCTTTGTTGAAGTCAGGTACCCAAAGCCTGATGGATAATAAAGAGATCTTGTTCGAGAAGATTGTTGTTCCTGTTACCCGTACCGAAGAAGTTTCTATTGTCACTATTTTCAATAACCCTCCTAAGGCTCCCTCAAAGAAGCCTGTCAAAATCAGGCCTACTCAGAAGATTGCTCCTAATATCATCACTGTTCCAGGGCCCCTCCCCTATACATCTGACAAAGTTGTCCCGTGGCACTATGGGGCAGATGTTTATGTGCTCAGAGTAAAACAAGAGTTCGATACAAGTACCAGCTCCAGCAACATCACCGGGCCTGCTAAAGTCACTCGCAGTGGCAGGCTCTTCTCACCTGATATTGCGCCACCAGTTATTCAAAGACCTCTTGATATCGGGCTGTTATTGAGAAGGGTGAGTGTGCAAACTGGGGCCGACTTCCTGATTTTACTCCGAAGACTGACAAGTTTGGTTTGGGTTTCACTGCAAAAGCTCAGAGGGTTGTTCGCAAGGCAAGGATTGGAAGACCTCCTGTGTTAATCACCAACTCGGGAGTGAATGCTATTGAAGACGACGGGGAGGAATCCGAATTTGACAGCTGGATCTACCCAACGACCAACGGTGGACTGAACAACTGGACTGCCAAAGATTTCATACCTATTACTTTTGTCACTCAGGAATGAACTCCTTTGTTTTAAATTTGTAACGAACAATAATTTGAAACTTTATGGCTCGGTGTCTTACCCGGGGCACCGTGGCTTCATTTGTGAGGGATTATTATTTGTCATTTTCATATATCATGAAAAAAAAACATTGGACGTTTTTCGCATTTCAAATCTTGTGCTCCCTTTCTTTCTTTATATATTGCAAAACAGCTATATTTACACACACTCACTTATACAGGTTCCAATCCACTCTGGATCTCACTGGTAACGACTTTGCTACTGTCAGTTATGACTTCGAAAATCTGATCAACTTAGCCGAAGACGAAGGTGAAGATGATTGTGAAGTGCCTGGTGAGCTTGCAAGACTGTTACTCCAGGAAGAGATGGCCATTCAGCCACATGAAGAGCCAGTGGAAACGGTAAATCTGGGTACTGAGACAGACAGAAAGGAAGTCAAGATTGGTGCCAATCTGGAGGCTAGTGTGAATCAACAGTTGATTCAGATGTTGCATGATTATGTGGAAATCTTTGCCTGGTATTACGAAGACATGCCTGGGTTGGATACTGACATTGTGGTTCATCACCTACCTACCAAGGAAGACTGCCCTCCGGTTAAACAGAAGGTCCTCCGTATGCGTCCAGAGATGTCCGAGAAAATCAAAGCTGAGGTTATGAAACAATTTGATGCCGGGTTTCTAGCAGTGGCTTCTTACCCTCAGTGGGTTGCCAACGTGGTTCCAGTGCCAAAGAAATATGGTAAGGTCTGAATGTGTGTTGATTACAGGGATTTGAACAGGGCGAGCCCTAAGGATGACTTCCCTCTGCCTCACATCGATGTTCTGGTTGACAACACTGCTCAGCATAAAGTATTCTCTTTCATGGACGGCTTCTCTGGTTATAATAAAATCAAGATGGCTCCCAAAGACATGGAGAATACCACTTTTGTTACTCAGTGGGGCACCTTTTGCTACAAGGTCATGCCTTTTGGGTTGAAAAATGATGGGGCAACCTACCAACGTGCCATGGTTGCTTTCTTTCATGATATGATCCACCATGAGATCAAATGTATGTCAATGATATGATTGCAAGGTCCCAAACTGAGGAGGAACACCTTGACCATCTACAGAAGTTGTTTGACCGTCTGAAGTTGTACAAGCTGAGGTTGAACCCGAACAAGTGCACCTTTGGGGTGAGATCTGGAAAATTGCTAGGCTTCATCGTGAGCGACAAAGGTATTCAAGTGAACCCTGCCAAAGTGAAAGCCATACAAGAGATGCCAGTTCCCAAAACAGAGAAAGAAGTCAGAGGCTTTCTAGGACGGCTGAACTACATTGCCCGATTCATCTCACATCTAACTGCTACCTGTGAACCAATCTTCAAGCTGCTGAAGAAAGATCAAGTGGTACGTTGGAACGATGAATGCCAGGCCTCTTTCGAAAGAATCAAAGAGTATCTCCAAGAGCCACCCATTCTTATGCCACCGGTTGAAGGGATACCTCTAATCTTATACTTGACAGTACTTGACAGCTCAATGGGGTGTGTGCTGGGGAAGCATGACGAGTCTGGCCGAAAAGAGCACACTATTTATTACCTTAGCAAAAAGTTTACCGACTGTGAGACCCGATACTCACTGCTCAAGAAAACTTGCTGCGCTTTGGTATGGGCTACTCGTTGGCTGAGACAGTATATGTTGACTCACACTACTCTGTTAATTTCAAAAATGGATCCAATCAAGTACATATTCAAAAAGCCCGCCTTGTCCGGAAGAATAGCAAGATGGCAAATGATCTTGACCGAATACGACATCCAGTACACGACTCAAAGCAATCAAGGGAAGTATGTTGGCAGACCATTTGGCACACCAGGCAGTGGATGACTACCAGTCCATGAACTTTGAATTTCCAGACGAGAATATCATGGTAGTGACTGATTGTGAAGTACCTGGACCGGATGAAGGACCTGAGGAAGGATCCCGATGGTCTATGCACTTTGACGGAGCCTCGAACGCTTTGGGTAACGGTATTGGTGTTGTGATCATATCCCCTAAAGGCACTCATACTCCACTTACTGCCCGGCTATGTTTCAACTGCACCAACAACATGGCGGAGTATGAGGCATGCATTATGGGTCTTCAAGCTGCAATTGACTTAAGGATCAAGTTCCTGAGTGTCTTCGGAGATTCCGCTCTCGTGATCAGCCAGATCAAAGGCGAGTGGGATACGAAACACC